TGTTTCGTTCCCTGACGGTAACCAAATCTAGATGTAGGAATCTGTTGAGCAGGAGAGTGACACATGTCTTCCCGAAGGCTGTCCAGGCTGCAGTGGTGATGAAGAAGACACGATCATCACCCCGAGATCGATCGTAGCGAATTGGAAAACTCATGGTGAATTTGCTTCCACTCCAAGGCAATGTCGAGGTATGAAGGGTGCTTGTACTGCCTTCCAAAGTGAAGAGGAGATGAACATGGCTTTGCATAGCTGTTGTTCTATGCCAACTTACCTACTCTTGCTGGTACCGTAGTGGCATATTGCAAATTTCGTGGACGAACAACTCTAGTCACTAGTGGCTAGTGAGCAACACTAACAGGTGAGATTTTTCAATTCGACAAAAAATGTTTTTGTTTGAGAACTGACAGTGGCAGTCATTAGACTCAGTAGGTGTCTTTGCTGCTTCTTTCCCTTCGTTGGTAGGGTTGTGCTTGAATAATACAAGTGCTTGAAGTAAAATAAAATAAATAGAACATGTGGAACATAAATCTAATCAAGCATCAGTACATGTATTGCGAAGTTCAACTTCAAAGCACATGAAATCACAATGATCACGAAGTTTATGTAATCAGGAGTACACCCTGTGTTCAACGAACACATACAGACATGCTGTATTGCACACACACATGTACACATGTGCGTGCACCCCCATCCCATCCCACAGACACACGCATGCAGCGCGCACATCCATACACATGTGCGTGTACCCCCCCCCCCCCCCCACACACACACATTCCTACCCATACACATGTGCGCCCCCCCCCCCACACACACGTGTGCACATACAGATACACAAACACACACGCACGAACACACACAAGATACGTGTAAGTGTACATGGTCTTCCTGGTGCAGATGCTGAGCCAGCACAATGGAAAATACCTCCATCAAGATGCTTGATCAAGTGTTGTGATAATGGCACTGTTTGTTTGTTTTTACAAAGAAGTGTGGGAAAGATTACAATGCATTATAATTCATAATAATTTATTTATTGTTCTTTGCCTTGTACTGTGCAGACCAGAATGCTTCGTTATCAACTCCTGGCTTTCCATCGGCATGGTGTTCAGCTGCAGCGGCATCTGGTCCGGGGAGTTCAAGTTGCTGGATGGCTGCACTGACACAGGATGGGTTTGCGTTGGCAATGCGATACGGCAGTCATCCCACAATCACGAGCTACATGTTTATGTAATTTATATTGTCGCTTGTCCAGCAACGTCAAGGCTCTGCATGTAAACACAGGAGAACACCATAATACTACTCAGGGGATAATAATTTTGGATATCAATTTCGTGACAATTATTAGATTCACACAATATTCACAACGTATGCAACACGATGCTGTCTATTGACACTACTTCAAACTGAAGTGCTCACTACTCCTCTCCCGTTTTTATCTCCCTCTACCTTATGAATACTCTGCATTACTGGTTTCGTTTCTACCCTTTCCATTGCTGCCAGCTCCCAGTCTTTTTCAATGCACAGCACCACCTTGACAGTCATTTTTGTGATTTGATGTACACATACTTTGAAGTTCAAATTCGAATTACCTGATCAGATTTTTGTTCCACATTTTCTATTTATTTTTACTTCAAGCACAACCCTACCGATGAAGGGAAAGAAGCAGCAGAGAGACACCTACTGAGTCTAATGACCGCCACTGTCAGTTCTCAAACAAAAACATTTTTTGTCGAATTGAAAAATCTCACCTGTTAGTGTTGCTCACTAGCCACTAGTGACTAGAGTTGTTCGTCCACGAAATTTGCAATATGCCACTACGGTACCAGCAAGAGTAGGTAAGTTGGCATAGAACAACAGCTATGCAAAGCCATGTTCATCTCCTCTTCACTTTGGAAGGCAGTACAAGCACCCTTCATACCTCGACATTGCCTTGGAGTGGAAGCAAATTCACCATGAGTTTTCCAATTCGCTACGATCGATCTCGGGGTGATGATCGTGTCTTCTTCATCACCACTGCAGCCTGGACAGCCTTCGGGAAGACATGTGTCACTCTCCTGCTCAACAAATTCCTACATCTAGATTTGGTTACCGTCAGGGAACGAAACAGAGCTGCAAAACACCAAAGTCATTGTTTTCTTCCATTCAATTACACTGCTGAACATGCACAGCATGGTGACAGCTAAGCAGTATGCACGTCATCAAGGCCAATTTCCAAATATGGGAGGTGTTATTTATGAAATTTGACACAGTTCCTCTTCTCTGATCGGCTCGAGACATAGCTCATCGGAATCAGTGCCCAATTCTCCTTCGGATAAGACATACTTATTTTTGGCGTTCAGTTTCCCTTTAACGCAGGTCACATGAAAGCGCGTAGCATTCCCACGTGTAAGCTAACACGCACCACAAATCACGTATCACAGACACAGGGCCTAGGCTAGGGCACAACTGCAACTGTGCACTACGCACACATTCAAATACAGCTGTAGACACGCACTGCATAAATCTACAAGTACTCGTACAAACTGTGCAGGTCAGCGACACCTGCAGCATCTGCTGGAACAATGGCACAAGGGAGTACTAAGAGTAAGAGAACGTAACACCCTTCGGCACAATGGTCAACGCAGAACGCCATCCTTCCCACCTCCATTGTGGAATGTCCACGACAGCACTCTACAAAATGAAGGCAGAACGAATAACAGTCAAGAACTTCATAAGAAGGGTGGCACCGCAAGTTTTCGTCTACCAACGACTGCCATCATCCCACAATTTGGAAATTCCTGGATGGTATTTTTGTCGAGCAGGCAATGATGGAGCAGTGTGTGGAGAGGGAAAATGCAGGTCATGACTCATGAGGCTCCGAAGAAGAGTAGGAAGTATGAAGATCGGGACAAGCGACTTCGTGCCATACTCCGGTCGTTTGAGACAAGGACGAAGGATGAGTTTCTACGAGGAGTTGCTGCGAACTTGGCATTTCATATAATAATGTGATTCTTACAGGAAATTTCAAGGTTATTTTTTATTTTATCTTATATTTTAACTTTATCTTCATTACTGTCTTCTTCTTGTTCAGGCGTTGTCTTCTTTCTCCATTAAAGTTCTGTTATTTTCTTCTTTGCATTCCATGTAAATTGGATTGGATTTTTATTTATAGTGGTGACTATAACAGACAATTGCCTAATAACAATAGACCCACTCGAGGGAAAGATGCAAAAAGATATGAATAATTAATATAATAGACTACCGGTATTGGATAGGTGATCATGTTCGCATTTTGCATAGCTGAAAGTCATAATTACTAGCGTGAAAAAGCAAGGCATTGGGGTAACAGTTTCTTAAAACGGGCGGAGTTATCCACACAGCGAGCTAGAGGGTGCAAATCATTCCACAGCTTAGCACATTGGAAGGAAGCGCCATGACGGGCAAAGGCAGTTCTGAGCATGGGCAACTTAAGAGTGCGTGATACAAGGCTGCGCGTTGCAAGACCATTATTTAAACGCTCGAACATTTGACTTTATGTGACACTACAGCGGCCTTCCAAACAGCACCACGTCAGATACAGTAATTTCTTGCAATACATGGTTGCCAAACGATCTAGACCAAGTCTCGCAAATAAAGGGCTTGATGGGCTACAAAAACCAGTATCGTACACTGAACGCAAAGCTCGCTTTAGCATTCGTTCAAGCCTACCTAACTGGGTTAAGGAAAGGCCAGCAGAAAAACAATTTGATGCATATAGAAAATCTGGCAACACTAGGCACTTTACAAAGGTTTCTCGGCAAGTCAACGGAATATTGTGTCGATTTCGGAACAGAATACCAATTTTACTGGCTAGTTTGGAGACCATAGAATCAACTTGAGTGCTCCAAGAAAGATCCTGGTCCAAATGTATTCCAAGGTACTTTGCACATATCACTTGCTTGAGCTGCACTCCATGGCAGTAGAATGCAAATTGGTGGTCAGTAATATGTGGCGTAGACAGGAAGAGCACTTGTGTCTTCCGAGCATTTAGAATTAAATTCCGGTTTGACAGCCAGGTACTAATGGCTGAGACAGCTGCAGACAGGGAGTTGCTAAGCGCATTCTTCTGCGTACCGCAAACATACAATAGAATATCGTCAGCAAATTGAATAACTTTCACACAAAACTCGGAGACAATGGACTGGAACGAACGAACATAGAGTACAAAAAGCAGCGGACCAAGAACAGAGCCCTGGGGAACGCCACACATGCAGGGGAAAGGAGGGCTATAGTTCTCAGCAATGTGCACTATTTGGCGACGATTGGACAAATAGTCAGTAAACCAAACTAATGCTGAGCCAGATATGCCAAGCTCAAACAAATCATTAATGAGCACTTGGTGCCTGACCTTGTCAAATGCTTTGGACATATCCACGAGCACAGCACCAGTAATTTGTCCGGCATCGCGAGCGCGAACAAACGTGTCCGTGACGAAAACTAGAGCGTCTTCCGTAAATAGAGAAGTGGCGGCATGCCGGGAACGTCGCGTTATTCTAATCATAATATACAGTGTAGGTTTTCACTAGGACCAACCCCCACACTGGGCCACAGACACCAGGTCTTCATTCCACCAATACATAAATAAGGACGCTGTGAGTTGCCTCGCTGTGAGTTGTCGACACTGTGAGTTGTCTTGGTTGTGAGTTGTCTTGACTGTGAGTTGACGACACTCTGAGTTGTCTCGCTGTGAGTTGTCGCGCTGCGAGCTGTCTCGCTGTGACCTGTCGTGTCGTAGAGCCCACTGCTGAGTGTCCGTACGAGACTATTGTACAGTCATTGACATTGTACATGACTACATAAATAATTTTGTACTCTGTAGCAGTCAAGTATTATTATTACTATGCATGAGCACAGATCTGCTCATGCATGCATGAATAAGGGAAATTATTTCCCCCCGTCAAATTTCAAGTGCATTTTTCTGCACTGCGCAGTCAACATGGTCAACGATGAAGTGACCCTTTTCTCGCTAGCGCGGGCTTCTGCACATAACATCGTTATTGCCAATATTGGATCGGCACGTACCGCTCTGTCGTCCATTTCGCACGGCACAGTCCACCATGGTCCACTGTTAGTTGTTGGTTTTCGTCTCCGTCCCTTTTCTCATTTTCTTGTAAACGTCTTCTACTGTAGTATTCTTGAACAGTCCCTACCTACCTTTGTTAGTCGTGCATTATCCTTTCCAGTCATTCTTACTCTGTCTATCAACTACTGACCCCGTCTGTAGTGGCTACAACGCTCTCTCAGTGAGTAACAAGTTCAGCATAACGCTCTCCTTCTCTCAACGACCTACATATTCCAGTCAGTCCATTCAGCCAACGTTTGAAGAAGATTATAAAAGGAACGGACAATTCACTCAGTAAGTAAATACATCATGTGTTTTAGGTCTATTTAAAATCCCCTGCAATGTAGCATTAGTATCACTGATATAGCACACTATGACTATGCCTACTCCAGAGCTAGGTCATCAGGCTGAGTGACACGGTTGAGAACTAGCGTGTGTGCACTTGCTTGGTAGAAACCAGCCAGGTACTGCACTGACCTGGTTGACATAAAGGGTTCATTGTGCTCCCGTTAGCGACTGGATCATTCCATTCACTCTCCTGTTCTTGCACTGTTACAAGTTCAGGGGTCGCACTTGTGTACTTAGACATCACAGCCATTTTTGATTCATCACGCACGCAGCACGTGCGCGTTAGGGTCGTGCATAGGTAGGGCTGAGTCGGGTAGCATTTTCTTCGGGTATCGGGTCCGGGTAGTACATCCAGGTTACAGGATGCAGCTTTGTTGACTTTTACCCTTTTACCCCCTGAGCTTTTAGCTCCACGGGTAGCACGGGTACCCGATCGGGTAATGTTTCCATGGTAAGACCACAATGCACACCGGCCCCTTCCCTTGCGCATTGGGTAGACATGCGTGAATTATTTGTACATGTGCACTGTACATGATGTCATCTGCGACCTAGGGCGTTTCGGGTACTATTCGGTACCCGACTACCCGAGGCCCTCACGGGTAGCACGGGTACCCGACTACCCGTGCACACCACTAGTCGTGCATGCAGCCAATCAAAGTTACGGAAATTTAATATTAATTCAAAATATTGCAATATTTGGGCGATTTGTAAAGGGTTCCTTGGCAGCCGTTTATCTAGCTACGGCGTCGAAAATCGCAGGGCTGCTTTGACGGCCAAGTACGCGGACATCTATCGAAAGAAATTTTGAAATCGGTCAAGTAGAAGGGAAATCTGTGTGTAGGGCTTTTTCTGAGCGTTGTCGCCCTGCTTTCCAGTACGCGTTGTCGCCCTGCTTTCCAGTACTAGTATTCTGACAGTAAATCTATGTCGTTGAGGAAAAATTGATTCGGTAGATTTACGGAGGAGATTCTAATAAAGAAAATGAGCCCTCGATCATAGAAATCGGAGAAGAGATGGCTGCCAAGGAACATTTTGAAGACTGCACTGACGGCCCGGCGCTAGCCGCTCGCGCGATCGCACAGTGTCAGAAAGTCCTTGGACTGCCTTCGAGTTTATTTGGTGCGCGGACGAGGTCAGAATGATCTGCCTGCTGCAACGCTATGCCCTGTGTCTTTGTTTTGGAACAATGTTCATGTACATTCATTGCTTTCTTTCTCCAACTCGGCAATGCCGCGTTGCTGGACCATGAAGACTCCAAGACCAACTCAAGCCGACACCGTGCGATTGTGATGTTTGTGTCACATGTATCATACAAGTGCAGTCCGTGCAGTACGAAAAGTACCGATACGAGTGACATAAAACAAGGAAACCATACCGTCAGTAAGTCCCGATAGGATCGCTTTCCGTAGCAGGTGTACTCGTTGCTGGAATACTCCTTGCGGATCGAAGCAACTTTGCAAACAGAACGTCTTCTTCCTGAGAAATATTCCACTCGCATGATTCCCACGGTCATTGTTCTGAGTATTGACACGCGAATTCAAAGCGGGAATACTTGCACGCAAGCATTAGACTTCCACTTACCAGTAAGTTTGCTGTTGTCACTTACAACTAAATGGAAGTCTATTTTGAAAGGAGAACGGGGAAAGAGAACATCGCCGTGTCAAAACAAGAACGGTGTCAGTGAAGAAGAAACTCTGTTCACAGAAATCTGCAGCTCTCGATCGTAGCTTTGTAGTGCTTGTACAGTTTGTGTATGCAAACAATGCATTGAGAACCACACACGTGATCCAAAAGAGCACGCGTCACGCACACAGTCAAAAGCAAGATGGCCGCGATGTCGAGAGCCGATCATGATCCCAAGTGCGACCCCTAAAGTTATCGTTCTGGCTATCCAGCTGTGGATCGTTTGGTAGCGGTTCATAACCTGTAGGTCAAAGTCCAAAGTTCAAACAGTGAGTTACTTCTTTGCTGCACCATCCGGTCAAGCAGCTGTGGACACGGCCCTACGGACTTCCACGCCACGGTTCTTCTTTACTCTTCACTGCTACTTGAAGACAACGTTCAAGGAAGACTTTCTTCAGCTCTTCCCTTTAGACTCGCCACTTGTAGTCGTGTTCGTCTATGAGAAGTTCAACGGTGACTTTATCCGTATGGCAAGTTAGAATAGACCATGTTCGGAACTCTCAATAGACAAGAGAAGTTCATCATGTTTCCTACACTTGGTGAGAAAGTAGAGAAAGGCAGATCGTTTTCAATGTCATCAACGTTACTCGAACAAGGAATGTAAGTAACAAATGGTGGCACTCCATCTCTTTCTTTTTGTTTACTTCCCATATTTTCGTTAGTAGTGTCGTGTCGTTGGTCTCCATCTTTGTCTTTGTCCCGTGTCACACCGCGACGGTCATTCAGGGACCTACTGATTGACCCGAGTCTTGTAGACGAAGTACTTTTCAGTTCTTTGTAACGAAGGTAGACCTGACAAGCAGGATGATGAATAGGTATTTCTAGTTGCGATCGACGATGGAGATGGTTCAAATATCAACCGTTTGCTGTTGTTACTGTTCGTGCTTGTCAAGTTGAAGTTGAAACTATTCCATTCGTTTTGTGTGGAGGACGTACCTTTCTTCGAGCTGGCGTTTTCTTCTTGCATGGTTGTCAACGATACAGAGTTGGTGTTGTTTGAGGTGGAGAGCAGTATTCTTTCGTCGATAGTTGTCGTAGGCAGTTGTAGTAATGAGGTGTAACATTTGTCTGTGGTTTCTGTGGTTTTGCTGAGACTGGTAAATTGCATTGTGTTGCAGTGTGTTGTGAAGATGTCCCCGTGATGTTGTTCATTGATCGTCTTCACCCTTTTCAGCTACTGACACAGTCACTGACTGACGTGGCTGCATGTGCGTGGATGTGGGGTCAAAGGTTGTTTCACTCTAAAATATGGCATTGGGTATGACGTCATAATGATTGTGTACGTGTGTGCGTACGCACCAGCGTAGATACAATTAGTATTGACACGTGAGATCAATCTTGTTTGGATCATTGTGTATGTCATAGTATGTGAGTACTTGTTGTCTGTCTGTGTGTCTGTCCATCTGTCTATCTGTGTGTCTCTGTCTATCTGTGTGTCTCTGTCTATCTGTGTGTCTGTCCGTCCATGTGTCCATCTGTCTGTGTGTCTGTCGATACATCCTTGTGTGACGGTCTGTTTGTCCATTGCTCCGTGTACTTGACTTGTATTATAATTATGTGTGTGTGTGTGTCTGTGTGTGTCTGTGTGTGTCTGTGTGTGTATGTGTGTGTGTGTATGTGTGTGTGTGTGTGTGTGTGTGTCTGTGTGTGTGTGTGTGTCTGTGTGTGTGTGTGTATCTGTCTGTGTTACGTACACATTGTCCCTGTACAGACATGTCCAGTCAAGAAGTCAAAGGGTTTGCTCGGGAGGTGCTGCGAGAAGATGCTACTACGGAAAGTCTTCAGGCTGCTGTGCCTCCTGAGCAGCCGCAATTGTCCTCCGCATCACGTAAAGTGACATGGATATCATCATCACACCCATGGACATACTGCTACTCAATGGGAGTAAGTAGAGTGTTGCTGTACAGTGTGTGTGTGGGGGGGGGGGGGGGGAGTTTTCTGTGACACCTGGTCTTCTCGTCTGTACCATTGTCAAGTGATTGTTGACCAGTGGGAATCGTTGATGTGACATAACTTTACAAGATATGCAATTGCTGTAAGCTTCTCTCAGGCTGGAATAAAGTTATGACAATTTGTCTGGTTTGGATCGCTGGCCTGATCGCTTACCTTTGAGGTCAATCAACAGGTTTCCTAACTCCTGATGGCATTGTACTGAAGAGTATCGTTGCTGTCATTGTTGTAATTGGGTCCGAAGAAGAGAGGTTTCTTACTCACTAACATAACTGACAACGGGAACAGGTAGGTTGGTGGAACGACTTTTATTAGAGACGGGATGACTAAGACCAGGACGAACGAAACGACTACATGGTGATTATTGAAGAGAGCGAGTTGAAGAGAGCGTATTGAAGAGAGAGAGAGAGAGTTGAAGAGAGAAGCAACGCAATATAAAGGGCCTGGGTAGCTATGGCAAACATGGGCGCGCAAGTAGCTACCCAGGCCAAATGAATAATGCATGAACTAATGAATATGAACTAATTACTTGTGGGCCTAACATACCGCCCTTACTTTAAGAAGAATCCCGCGTCCTCGCGGAGAAAAAAAAAGAAAGAAAAAAGAGAGAAAAAGATTAAAATTGACAGAGGGAGAAAAAAACACACACACACACACACACACATCCACACACACACACACACACACACACACACACACACACACACACACACACACACACACACACACTGCACGCGTTCACGGATCTCACAAAAGTGTTTACTAGTATCATGCATTACAGTTATTGTTCCTGTACTTCTCTAAGTCTAAAGATAAGAAACTAAATGTGACGAGGAACCTACTGATACTGATTGCATGGCTAAAAATAGCGTAGTTGCACTTCTGTATAATTGTCAAATCGGTTTTTCCTGTTTTGTATATCACACAGACAATGCTCATTCTTGTGATCTGCTGCGAGGGTTGGCGTCTTCGAGATGAAATCCTCTCCACTATTGTACACTACATATTTAGTGTACATAGTGTAGAGGTGAATGAGGAAGACGAAATTCGCGTAAGTTGTTGTGTTCTTGATTGTTACAAGACTCAGTACTGTTCGGTGTCATGGTTGTTTTGTGTGTCTGTCTGTTGGTCTGCCTGTCTGTCTGTCTATCAGTCTGTTTGTTTGTCTGACATTTTACTCCTGTGTTACTGTATACCTGCACTGTACCATGTATCTGTATGTCCACGTGCACCAAGTTTTGACGTCTTTGGGATGTACCACTGACTGTATGTCTGTCACGTGTGTATGTTTGTGTGTGTGTGTGTGTGTGTGTGTGTGTGTGTGTGTGTGGTGCGTGTGTGTGTGTGTGTGCGTGCATGTGTGTCTGTGTGTGCGTGTGTGTGTACACGCATGCGCACATGTGTGTGTGTCTGTGTGCGTGTGCGTGTACGTTTGTGTATTTGTGGGTGTGCACGCGTGTGTTTCTGTGTGTGTGTGTGTGTGTGTGTGTGTGTGTGTGTGTGTATGAGTGTGTGTGTGTGTATGTGTGTGTGTGTGTGTACAGCACAACTGGACACTACTGCACCACTGTGCATGGCGTGGAAAGGATCGACTAGCGAATATACTCATCGGACGAGGAGCTAATATCAATGTGCAGGACAGCTTGGTAAGAACTAGTGATAGTTTAGAGTCTGATTGTCTCAACTGAATTCTCAGTTTGTATGTTCCTACTACCTCCGACAAGCGAAACTTGGCGCGTTTAAAAAAAAATTTGTGTACCACAACTTCACAAGGCTGTGAGGTTTGTTCTACGACCTACTTGTAGCTCCATGCAACCTGGAGGAGGAAGCCAAGCGAAGAGCTGGCGAGTGGCACATGACTCAGACTTAGTCAGAGGCAGGCCAGTCTCTCTTGTACCAGCACAACAGTGCGCGCGTCATTCTGCGAAGGAGAATCGTAGTGCTTTCGCGTTTCAATGCAAAAACCAAGGAGTTCTCTCTCTCTTTCTCTCTTCACTTGATCACTCAGCCAGCACAGAGTCCATATGCCCATGCCAAACAATCCTGGCGTCTTTCAATAGCCTCCAGAGCGATGAGTCTCTGTTGGCTAAAGGAAATCGCCAGGAATTGCTGCAGGCAATTATTTTGGACTGTTGGCGAGAATACCCGGCAAAAAGAGTTGGAGTCCAGGCGCGGGTGGAGGTGTTGCACAGTTCTCACCACGTCAACCTGGATAGTGGCGGCGGAAATGACTACCCTCAAGCGTAGCGCAGTGGATTGCTCCCTCTTCGAAGCACGAGGGTAAAAGCTTGCCGCTGTCTGCAGCAAAGTGTGTGTGCGGATCTTTCGAACCTATGAATACACCCCCCTGCATGTTCAGAGTGAACTATTTTCTAGTATATTAAACATCCTCAACCCGCCACCACCATGCGCTCTTGGCCGAACTAATGCACGAAGCATAAACACACCAGCACAGCAAGGACACTTCCGTTGACAGATATTGTTTACGCCTCTAGACCGCTGCTTCTTTTCTTCGAGCTCATCGTTAGAGGAGGATAGTAGCAGGATACTAATGATGATATAATATTATAAGATGATAGACCGTTTATGGTCCGATATTGATGATTGAAGATCTAAGAAAGCAATGACAGTGATTGCGAAATGGATAATATTATCATGATTATATGCCAGTCTGGTAATGCGTTGTACTAGTGGACAGTATTGAAATCATCACTGCATTCGATGCAAATATTGGTATGCCTTTGGTTTCAGCATTGGAAAAAAAAGAGTAAGAGAACCTGGTTGATTTGGTTGCATCTGCGACTGGCTACCGGGTGTTGTGATCAGCAATGTTACCATGGGAGAAAATAGGAGCGCAAGGATCTGTTGGGTCTTGTTGTGCCGGTGCGAGAACCCTAAGTGCATGGCAAAATAGAACTGTTTCATCCACAATGCAGAATGTCTTGCGGTACATGGCATTGATGACTGAACATCTCGCCAGCTCGCCCAAATGGGGATCATGCCCAAACGGAGGAACAAGACATCTTTCCTGCTCAGCTAGTTATATACCGTGAAACGGATGATTAACTTGTGCCACGCATGCCAGCCTCTGTTCCATTCGGCCCAGGCTTAGACACGTCAATGCCAATAGCAGCTGAGCCTCCATTACATACTCATTGGCGGTTTACGGCCGCCTCCAACTGTATCCGCCGTCCCTCAGCTTCCGTCTTCGCAGATCTGTCGTGGCGCAGTACATTTTCTCGGCTAGGCTCAAAGAAGTCCCACAGAGCGGTCCAAACACCTGAAGGCAAACCAGTCAGAAACTGGAGCGGCTCAGAGTCTTTCTTTATGTTATTGTACGTAAGCTGTTTTTCGGCTTTCTTCACCCCATCGTCCAACTGCTCCACGAGACTCTGTACACGAGCTCTACTTGCTGCCAGCTCCTGATGCAGATGCTGCACTTCCACTACAGGACCAAACTGCACTAAGCCAGGTTCCTTTCCAACTCAAAATGCCGTTGCCTCTCAGCAAAATACTGGTTTGCGAGCATGGGGAGCTCGTGATGCAGACGCTGCACTTCCATGACCGAACTGCACTAGGCTCAGCAAATACTGTTTTGCGAACATGGGGAGCAGAGCGTCCAGACTCCACTCTCTTGTGAAAAGCAAACCTGGTACCGTAGGACAGCTGTTTGCTTTCCTGGACTCATCCTGCCCTTGTAGAGCTGGGCAAAACGATTTCGACTTCGGGATCGAAATGATCGCTGCAACTCAAATATTCAGAGTGGCCCTAAAACTACATCCTTCCTCACGGGGAATAGCCTGGATCCGCTTGCTCCAGGCCGCTGTGGCTCCACACGAGGAAAGGAGTGAAATGACTTGTTTGCTTCGTCCTCCTGTTCTGACAGTGAGGAACGCAGCAGCAATGATCCTGAGAAGGCATCCTGAAGTCGTAAAAAGGAAGACGTCTAAACAAAAACAAAGCAGCTCAAATCAAAAGTCCTTGTGGCATTTTTTGTAGACAGGCTTGCACTGCGTGTAGATTTCGCGTGCTCTGCACTTCGCATGCGAGAAGTCACGCACAGCCGAGGTGAGGTTGGTCGCGTGTGTGCAGCAGGATCCCACGCGACTGCGGAGTTGCCCCTTTGCTCGAACCCAGACAATAATAAAGGGATCGGTCTATTTCGAGCAATTTGAAGTAAAAAAACGAGCCAGGTTTCGCTTGTCGGAGGTAGTACTTGTCTGTCTGTATGTCTGTGAGACAATCATCCTGTACATTGGTTAACCATGTGTGTCTTTGTACATATCTATCCACGTGTGTCTGTACAGCTGTACGTATGTGTGTTGTGTGTGTGTGTGTGTGTGTGCGTGCGCGCGTGTGTGTCCCATATGGTGCAGTGGTATGTGCAGTCGATTTCCAATCGAGAGGTTGCGGGTTCAATTCCCGACGATTATGGTCGCACACGTCTTTCTTCTCTTTCTCAGACTCTTCCTGGCTTTTCTTTCATTCTCCTGGGTGGTTACCAACAGCCAGTGTATGCCGGAGTATGTGGTGTGGTGTGTGTGTAGGAAAAAAATGGAAAAACGAAAAATAGGGATTCACTGACCAGAAAAAGTCACTTCAAACAGCTGTGTGGTGGATACCAGGCTAAAAATAGTGGCGGTCAATTCATCAGCCTTGCAAGCTGTTGAATGGTGTAATCCCAGCACAAGTTGCTATGTCTATCATAGCTGTTCGCTATCATCGCTTCCACGATGGGCATGTCTGAGGTCTGAGGTGTGTGCGTATGTGCGTGCGTGTGTGTGTGTGTGTGTGCACATGTGTGTGTGCACATGTGTGTGTGTGTGTGCGCTTGTGTGTGTGTGTGTGTGTGTGTGTGTGTGTGTGTGTGTGTGTGTGTGTGTGTGTGTGTGTGTTGATGGGGTTGTTCTAGTTGTCCAGGTCTGTGTCGGTGTGTGGTTGTAGTAGTTAATGTAATGGTTGTATAGCAATACTCATCACATTCTCTCTTTCTCTACAGTACCGATGGACTCCACTTCACTATGCAGTCAACCATAACCGGATCAACGTTATCAAGGTGATACTGTCACATGACAGTGACGGTGTCACCTTGGATACCACACTGCGTGACAGGGTAAGTATTTGATTGTGTGTTGTTGTGAAGTGAACAGTTTCTACGCGTCCTTCTCACCTGTCCTGCCTCTCTCTCTCTCTCTCTCTCTCTCTCTCTCTCTCTCTCTCTCTCTCTCTCTCTCTCTCTCTCTCTCTCTCTCTCTCTCTCTCTCTCTCTCTCTCTCTCTCTCTCTCTCTCTCTCTCTCTCTCTCTCTCTCTGCCTATCTCTCTCTCATCCAACTACTAAAACTGATAGGCCATTCACACTACAAGATCATGCACCCGCTTTTTCTCGGTTTGAGTATACTGTTGTGCGACTGTGCAGCAGGGACATTCACACCAGCATTTGAAACCGGGTACGGGTGTGCGTTTTCACCGTGACTGACCAAGTTGTCTTGGGAGATAAAATGGCGCATGCCTGAGCATGGGCTATATATAGCGCTAGTCGGCTCATGAAAATTAATTTTGGATTAATTTTCATAAGATGAATTCACCAACAAGTCTTGTAAACGATGGGCCTTGTGCAGCTCTCGTCCCTTCTTCTTGAGGGAGTCGACATCGTTGTGTGCTTCTTTCATGGAGAAGAGTTTCGCGAGGCTGACTGCTTCCATGCTATTAATTATTCAGCAGACGTGTAGCTTTTTACTCCTTCGCACTTCTGGTCATTGATTTTATGAGTTGATTTCAGCAAGTCGGAATAAATTTTTATGAGCATACGCTCAGACTCGGGACTGAAAGTTCGGTTGGACATGGTCGTCGGTCGAAAGGAAAACAGGAAAAAACACAACCACTTGGTGACTGACACTGGTGCCAATACTTTAAATCGCAACCGAGAAAACGTACAGCCAGGGATGCCGAGGCCGTGGGACAGTTTGCGGGCTCACGTTTTCAAGGCTCCCGCCAAACCATGGTTAGGAATTCCAGGATCTGGCCGACTGGGTTCGAGGACTTTCTCCACGCGCTACACAGAAAAGTTTGGTCGCGCGATGACGGCTCATGCTAGGCGAGTGCGCTGGGATATCGTAAGTTCTGGAGGATTTTTGAAGTCACCAGTGGCTTCCTGAGGTTTTCAGCTGTCCAATGTGGGGTTTTTGATCGCCGTGCGGCGAAATGAGGCCATTGCAATCAGTCAAAGAAGAAATTGAAGGCGATTTTCAAGTCTAAAATGGCATCTTAGGGGATTCTTAAACCGATTTTCAGCTTCAGCACCCAAAAACCTTTCTGTATCACCCATGCCGGTGTTTTTCTCAAGGAAGGTAGAGCAGCGCAACAAAATTTGAGTGCGCCCAGTAGGACTAAAAGCACTTCCGACATGGCGATTTTTTCAAGTGCGAGGAAGAAGAGTAGATCTACACTAGAAACTAGGTGTTACCCCCAGCGCAGTCAGCTGATCGCGAGTATCAAGCAGCACGAAGACCAGGATTGCGCTGTGCCTAGTGAGCACGACGTAGTACACGATTCTGCACTATCTCCTGTTTGCGAGGAACAAGGAGAACAGGCGGCGGCTTGGATTTATGACTCGTGCGCTGGCGGAGAACAGTGAGATGCCGTCATTACCGATCGCACTGGTTGGTGTCGGAGCTGATGCAGTATCTCTCACCATGATCAGCCTGATCCCAGCTCCCATCGACAGCGTCTTCTGGATTTGGTTCGCAACTTGCAAGCTCTGCAGAGGACGGCATCGGCAGCATCAACATTGGCGTGTTTGTGACTTGCCGTCCTTGTCGGCAATGGCCAAAGCCGTGCTGGTGACTTGACGTCCTTGTCGGCCAAAGCCGTATGAAGAAGAGGGGTAGGTTCGCCAAATCGAACCGTGCATATGCCATCCGCTCAAGGCAAGGATAAGAGGCCGGCTGTAAACCAAATTTCATCTGATTCGTGTGAAAATGTATGTAGCAAGGTGGTGGCTATGCAGTAGTTTGACCATGTTTTGAGCCGATTTCCCATTTGATCGCCAGAGAAAAATACACCCATTTCGCCGTAGAAAAATGGCTATAACTTTCGAATGCCTGGACCGATTTTGATAAAATTGGTACCATTGGATATCTTATTAGCTGGGTGACATTGTCCAAAAACAAGCTAGCTTGAATTATGAATTTGAAATTTTGACTGGAATCCCTACCATGGTTTCCATGGCCGCCTACCGAGAAACCATGAAAACGTGACTTCTGGACCGTAGTGTGAATGGCCTATAAGTACCACAACTCTCCACTCCTCTCACCTCTTGTCAGAAACGTGTACCAGTTGTACAATACCGTACCCGATGACATCATGCGTACAATATCGCCACGTGGTCATATTCACTCTGTGGTCCGAATTTCGAAATCAGTGTGTGAAGGAGTAGACTGTTTGATGGTGGTTGTTGGAACAAGTGAGGAGTGAAGGGCTGTTGTTAATGTAACGAGTACACAGACGACATGGAGTTGTTCCTGATGTGGAGCAGACGTTGTGGACGTCTTCCTCTCGTCGTGGATATTTCGTTCCGTTAGAAATCTGTAAAAAAATATTCTAATTTGTCGAGGCATGAACTGGAGTTTTTCCTGTGAATGCATGGAGTAGCAATGTTGCTGAGGAAGGAGAGACTTGTTCTGTACATGTAAGTCGTCTTGTGGATAGACTGATTTCGTTTTGTTGTAGATTATGTCCTTGCCCTTCGTCAGTGTGTTTTCGTTTTTGTAAAATTCGAATTTTCACGAATATATTTTCTGTTGTCCCTGTGATGTGTTGTTGAGTTACTCAGGAAGGGAGAACAGCGTTGGACCTCGCCAGGCAACAGCAGCATGAGGGATTTGTGCAGTTGCTGGTGGAGCACGAGAGTGCGAAGGTATGTTGAATAGACTTGACTGTGAGTGACTGAATTTAGATGTACTGTGTGTATACAGTATTCATTACAGCGTGTCGTTCATTTGATTGGTTGAACTATGCAGTGATTAGGTGTCACGTGAGTCACGTGAGGTGCACCTACCACCACCATGTCCTACATTTGTACAGCTATCCATGAGATCAAGAGTACATAACCCCCCAGAGTGCGCAAGTTCACTTATCAGATCTGGGACGGCGAAATCCGTGTTGCACGTCATAATAATGACATCATAAGTAGGGGAAGTGTGGACGTGGTGCATCGCCGCGATGGAATGAGGCAAGTCTGACCCAAAAATGACGTACATCTCGGATTACACCGTCCCACAACCCCATTCCAGTTGCACACTCTGGGGGGGGGGTATGTACTCTTGATGAGATGTTTGGCACTATCACACCCCTCATGTTGCCGCTCACATTGTGAATATTTACACATGTTTTCCACCTGATTCTGCACTGCACATGCTGTACTGTTTAGTAATACTGTGCAAGGCAGAAACTATGAGTCTGTGGGCGCGTGAGTGGCTTGGATGGGTTTATTGAAATGTTAACCCTTTACCAGCCGCAGGATTTATATGTAAAAAACGGGGTCCACTAGATTGATAATAGAGACTAAACGGTAAATATTTTGTAATGACACCTTTACAGTTCTGGAAAGCTGGTAGTATTACCTTTCATATGAGACTAAAACTAAGCTGATAACATGTAGAAACGTTGCCATTCATGGTGACCAATAACTCGAGCAATGCGGCCGAATTAGCAAATTCGAGGACCATGACAATATGTACACTGTTCAGCTTCAGCTCATGCACCAGTTCATCTGTCAAGATTCAGACACCAGCAGAACCAGGTTGCTCTAGCGCTCATTTTTGGTGCATGTCACGCATGGGCTGTGCACTGGGGAATTCGCAAACACATACTTCAGCATGAAGTGCGTCACAGCCACACGCTTGAAATTTCAACTCCACCCGTTTGCTTGACCTCGAGCTTCGGCGCTTGAGTATTTTACGTTGCTCTATATCGAATGATACATCGTTAGAAAGCTGCGTTTAATAGCTTTCCAATAAGCCTTCATATGTTGAATTTGAAGTAGGCAGACCGAAGTTATAGCTGTTTGTACACTGCTCTATGCTCGTTTGTAGCATGAAATGCGCCACAGTCACACGCTTGAAATTTCAACTTCAACCTGTTTCCTGGACTTGGAGCTTCGGCGCTTGAGTATATTTTACTTCGCGCTATATCGAATGAAACATTGTTGGAAAGCTGCGTTCAATAGCTTTCCAATGAGCCGTCATTTGTTGAATTTGAAGTAGCCGATTTTCTCGAAAAAAAATATGTGCAGCACACGGTTTTATCGATGGTAGGTGATTCCGTAGGTTTTCAGCAGTAGTTTGCGATTATTCCGACCGCGGTGCGGCAAAAGACCATGGTTTACAGAGCGAAAAAGGAATGCGTCGAATTCGACGCACTCGCACTATGTACGGCTGGTAAAGCCTTACGTGAGTCACGTGAGGTGCACCTACCACCACCATGTCCTACATTTGTATAGCTATTCATGAGATCAAGATTACATAACAACCCCCCCCCCCCCCCACCAGAGTGCGCAAGTTCACTTATCAGATCTGGGACTGCGAAATCCGTTTTGCACGTCATAATAATGACATCATAAGTAGAGGAAGTGTGGACGTGGTGCACCGCCGCGATGGAATGAGGCAAGTCTGACCCAAAAATGACGTACATCTCGGATTACACCGTCCCACAACCCTATTACAGTTGCACACTCTGGGAGGGGGGGGGGGGAGGGTATGTACTCTTGATGAGATGTTTGGCACCATCACAACCCTCATGTTGCCGTTCACATTGTGAATATTTACACATGTTTTCCACCTGATTCTGCACTGCACATGCTGTACTGTTTAGTAATACTGTGCAAGGCAGAAACTATGAGTCTGTGGGCGCGTGAGTGGCTTGGATGGGTTTATTGAAATGCGCTATGGGCTTGATAACAAGCTATTAATTAACCCTTTCAGTGCCAAGGGGGTCAGAAAAAGTGTTGAGCTGGACTCAAATTTTTCATAGCTCAGCTGTATATCCACGGATCTTTACAAACGATGGCTCTCTGGAAAGATATAAAGGTCAGGCAGACCATTGTGAAGAGAAAATGCGGCGAGAATAGTCTTCCTAGGAAGGGCGCCTGAGCGATGTCCATTTTCTGCATTCTGGCGACGTCTATCCTCACGGACACAAACCGATGTGATAAGTGGATAGCCAAGGTCTTCCTGGAGACGTTGAGTGCTCGTTTGTAACTCTCCTGTGTGTAGAAGTGGAGATACGAAAATATTTGTACACACATACTCATTCTGGGCGACTAAAGTCGCCCATGGCACTGAGAGGGTTAACAGGGAGAGAAATTTGAAGAGAGTAGTTCGGTTACCACACCCATTCCCACAGCACTGCAAACCGAACCGATTCCTTTTACGTACAACGTTTCGTCACAATTGCCATCGTCAGATATGAAGAATTGTTGGTTTCAAGACGGCGAAACAGAGACTCGCAATGAAGGTCCAGTACCCATCGCATGTTTTGCACATGCATTGCATGGACGAATAACTCCCCCATGGAACAGAGCAGATGTGAGAGTTGCACACTCTTGTTTATGTACACTTGATGAGATGTCTATCACTATTGTTGAGTCACAAAAGGACTCACCATCCCAGACACAAAGGAACAACTGGGGACAGGTACTAGTAGTGGGAAGACATTTATCATAGACGGAGAGACGGAGAGAAAGAGGAACTAAACGACTACATTGTGAAAGAGAGAGAGATTCGAAGAGAGTTGAGAGAGAGATTTGAAGAGACGCGACGCAATATATAGGGCCTGGGTAGCTATGGCAAACATCAGTGCGCAAGTAGCTACCCAGGCCAACGGAACGAAAGGTGAGAATGACGTAGTACGGGCGGAGGTACCTAACACTATTACACTCTCATGTAGATGTTTTTGTTGTCACTAGTGACACATGTTGACCGTGAACATGTTTTTCACCCGATACTGCACTACAAACACTGGTGTTTATAGGCCATTCACACGACGTCCAAACTCACTTTTATCGTACCGTTTCCAAGGATATTTACTCGGATAAACTTGCATTGCTTGAACAAAGGAAATTTTTTAATTCGACTTGAAGCGCAGCAGTCAGCTGGGGAATGTGAGGGCCATCGCTCTGGACAAGCCTACATGGAGAAATCTGGCCGACAATCCATGGTCTGGCGTCACAGGTCATCAGTGCGCCGTGTTAATAAATTATCTTGATAATGGAATTTGATCATAGGAGATAGGACAGAAGCGGAACGTATAATTATACCCACATAATTATATTATTACGCGTGCTGTGGTTTTATTATTATTATTATTATTCAACGCAATAAATAGAGTAAGCTGCACACTCAGTACAAACACCATTAGCAAAAATTGTTTTCATGTAAATAAAGAAGCTTGTTCCTAAACGTTTTCGTTTACGGTCCACGCAGTTCGAGTGATGAGGCTTTGTACTTGTGCACTGTACACCGTACTGTACTGTGCAGTCGTCTTGAAATTTTCTCGATTCTCCCATTACACCCATTCATTTGTGTTTATAGTGATAGTCCGAAATTGGTGCACTTCAAATCATTATCCCTAGGTAATGGTTGGGCGGAATTGAATACTATTTGCGCATTTCCTAAATGCTGTACTCTGGAGAATTGATTAAGACTAAAATCGGAGCATTTGGAGCGAGTTTGAAAATTGACTGAAGTCACTATTGCCATAAGCAAATTTACACATACGCTCAGCGTCACGCATGCTGGTTCAGTACCCCCGAGTGCTGAAACGATAATATCGATTACTCGTTACTTACTTGATAAGAAATAGATCGAGCGGTTATTTCGATTTTATCGGCTAAACGAATAGAATGGTATTTACGCTCGGTACGGGATTCCCCCCTTTTTTGGGGGGGGGGGGGGTTGAAAAAAGCGTGCTAGACTGACAAGATCATGCAAGAAAACCCTAATTGCACTCACCTGAGCTTCAGAGCTTCAGCTGTTCAAGTCGTGTCGGTTGTGCTAACATCCGACTAAACGTGTTCTCTCAGTAAAAGGAAGTACCTTGTTGGAGTGTGCAACCATCGAGCCACAATCTGGTCAACCAATAAAACAGACAATAAAACAGAAAATGGGAGTGAAGAAGAGTGTCAAATGAAACCTTCTTTCCTTCTAAAATGTTCTCACCCGCCTCCCCCCCCCCCCCCCCCCTCGTCTCTGCCTGTCTTTTTATTGCAGAATACCATATCTGTCGACTTGCTGGTGTGTCTGCATACTCTTACCCTCCCTGCTCTCTCTCTCTCTCTCTCTCTCTCTCTCTCTCTCTCTCTCTCTCTCTCTCTCTCTCTCTCTTGTTGTTTGTCCTTGGTACAGTGTTGAAACATGGTGAGGCGTCATCTTGAAGCTGCCCTGCTCACCTGCCCAGCGGTGGCCTCTATTCGTTCCTGGCTTAGCTGTCAACTGTCTACATTCTACTGGTAGTGAGTCGCTCGACAGCTGAACACCTCAAGCATCTGAAGACCCCCGCACTTGGCAGAGTATGGTCTGGTGGTCAATGTCAGCAAGTGTGTCTTGATGCAACCCTCCGTGACATTCCTGGGTCACAATGTCAAAGCCACTGCCGGCGGCGGCATTGAGACACTGGCAGAGGAAGTCAAGGCTATGGTGGACTACCCTCTCCAGACACTCACTCTGCTCTCTACCTCGCTTTCTAGGTTTGGTTAATCTCTACCGACGCTTCATCCCGGATTGTGCATGCGTTCTTCAGCCGCTCGCGGATTTGTTAGCAGGCCCTCAATCTCCCACAAACCTTTGTCGCGAACGTCGCGATGAAATACATGAAAATGAATTCTGAATAACTAATTTGTATTTTGCATTACATGACGATGATTAACATTAGTGTTTTCGTATATACCATGACAATGATTGTACTCTCTTACTCTCTTACATTGTGGCTGATTCCACGCTTGGGTTAGCAGAATTCTGGTTCCCTATCTTCATTTCTAATGATTGACTCCATTTCACTTCAAAGTAGCTTCGAAGGTAGTCTTCGTTTCTCTAGTCTTTGCATTTCGTTCTGAAACAAATTCTTCGTTATGTTTTCATACCGTGAGTAGTCTCGCGCTCTTGATTTGTTTTGCTCACGCATGACTTTCCTTTCTGTTCTTTTTGTTATGCATGACCATGATGACGTATTGGTATGATGTATATGTGTACGTGACCACTTGACCACGTGACTATGTGTTCACTAACTACAGAGTCTGCAGACTGTAGCCTAGTGTAGGCTAGTGCACTTTAGCCATTTGCTCTCCTTGCTGTTACTTCTTCTCCGTTTCTATTTTGTCGCTGCGCTAGTTCCTTTTTCCACCATTCCACGCCAATGAAAGTCGTGGTCGCCAATTAAATGCATGATCTTTGTGCGCAGCTGCCTGTGGATGCAGCTGCCCTGTTTCCGTTCCATTTGGATTTAGATTGAGAAAGAAACTTTCCAAATCATAAATGAAGAAACGTTGTTTGTAAATTAATAGCTAGGTTCCAGGGTACGATTTTCCATGCCCAAATCCATATGGACAATACGGATTTTTTCGAAGCGTACTTCATACGATTTTTCGGCACGGACAATACATGTGGACTGGCTTTCAAAATTAAAAATTAAATTAAATACCTCCCGTCCGCCCCGATTTCTCAGAAAAATCTGACGATAATCAATATTATTTTGCATGGCCTTAATGTGGGGCTTTGAATAAAACAAGTCGAGAAAAAATATAAACATCACTGTCTAAGAAAAGAATTCGGGTGGACACACCCATTCCCATAGCGCTGCATATCACATCCGAACCAGTTCCGTTATTTTACAACGTTTCGGCACTTGGCCATCATCAGGTAATAACAATGAATACCGTGGAAGCCACACAAGAGCAGTATATACGCAGAGTGTAGCGCCAAAAAAGATGCGAATTATGTCACCTAGTATGACAGAGAGAGAGAAAAAGGCGCAATTAGCACATCACGGAGGAGAAGCAGCAAAAGGTAGCGCGCATTGTGCTCTGTGAATGGCGTTGCACAGAGTGTAGCGCCAAAAAATAAAATGATGCCAGTTATGTCACCTCTATACAGAGGGGGGGGGGAGAGAGAGAAGGTGCAACTGTGCACATCACGGAGAAGAAGAGCGCGCCGTTGTGCTCTACGAAGTGAGGGTACATGCCAAATAATTATGGTGTTAATTCTAGCACAGGATCTAGGAGGGGAGCACGGAGCCCCATGAGTCAATGCACTATGAGGTTAAAACTTCCATGCCAAACTGTTACCACCAGGGACGCGACGAGGCATCAGGAATAGAATGGTTTTGAGTGACCCGCCTCATATTATAATTATTCAGTGATATTGAAGTAGCAGCAGGGGAAGCTGAGAAAATTCACAACAAATCCCATCCGGTGCTTATGTTCACATGGGGCTTGGCATCACGAATCTCAATCGCCTCGCGCAGTTTTCGACGGGCTCGATCAGGCTCTCTTCCTATTACTTCAACTGCAGAGAATGCACTTTGCCCATAGTTAAGCTTACATCCAGGGTGAGTGGTGCGAAAATGTTGGCCCCATGGCTTGTCGAGTTCCTGGCGTCTTGCCTCACCATTATGTTCTTCCAGGCGAGTTTCCAGAAAGCGGCCAGTCTCACCAACATATTGTTCCGGACATTCTTTGCACTTCAGCTGATATACAACATTCTTCTGCATACATACATCCTGTCCCCCGGATATACACGAGATACATGGCCCCTTTGGGCGACCTCTCTTTTTCGGTTGTAGCGGATTTGCAGCCTTGACACATAGAGGAGGAACGAGGGCGGAGCGACACAATGTGCGCCAAGTATCAACTTCACATATGAGCTCAGCGAGGTGAGTGGCTCCATAAATTATATGGATATCACAATTATGATCCAGGAAGGCAAGCTGGCATACAAGCTGTACCAGAAGGCATGTGCTAGTGGTCTACTCATTGATTATACTTCGGCAGTTCCCCACCATATCAAATTGGCAGTTGCTTCGTCACAATTCCTAAGAGCTCAGAGGCTCTCATCGAATACCAGAATGCGTGCAGAAAGTGAAGCGATGGTTCATGAGCAATTAAGATTGAACAATTACCCAGAGAAAATCATTGAAGAGGCACGCACTGCCTCCATAAGGCCAAAGCGTCGTCGCCATGCCAACCCATGCTGCGCATTTCTAAAGCTTCCATATAAGTCAGATAAAGTACATCAAGCAGTGAATAAAGCAATCAGAAAGTATAAAATTCCGGTTAGAGTCGTATATGAGCACACTGGTAGCCTGAGGCGCACATTGTGTCGCTCCGCCCTCGTTCCTCCTCTATGTGTCAAGGCTGCAAATCCGCTACAACCGAAAAAGAGAGGTCGCCCAAAGGGGCCATGTATCTCGTGTATATCCGGGGGACAGGATGTATGTATGCAGAAGAATGTTGTATATCAGCTGAAGTGCAAAGAATGTCCGGAACAATATGTTGGTGAGACTGGCCGCTTTCTGGAAACTCGCCTGGAAGAACATAATGGTGAGGCAAGACGCCAGGAACTCGACAAGCCATGGGGCCAACATTTTCGCACCACTCACCCTGGATGTAAGCTTAACTATGGGCAAAGTGCATTCTCTGCAGTTGAAGTAATAGGAAGAGAGCCTGATCGAGCCCGTCGAAAACTGCGCGAGGCGATTGAGATTCGTGATGCCAAGCCCCATGTGAACATAAGCACCGGATGGGATTTGTTGTGAATTTTCTCAGCTTCCCCTGCTGCTACTTCAATATCACTGAATAATTATAATATGAGGCGGGTCACTCAAAACCATTCTATTCCTGATGCCTCGTCGCGTCCCTGGTGGTAACAGTTTGGCATGGAAGTTTTAACCTCATAGTGCATTGACTCATGGGGCTCCGTGCTCCCCTCCTAGATCCTGTGCTAGAATTAACACCATAATTATTTGGCATGTACCCTCACTTCGTAGAGCACAACGGCGCGCTCTTCTTCTCCGTGATGTGCACAGTTGCACCTTCTCTCTCTCCCCCCCCTCTGTATAGAGGTGACATAACTGGCATCATTTTATTTTTTGGCGCTACACTCTGTGCAACGCCATTCACAGAGCACAATGCGCGCTACCTTTTGCTGCTTCTCCTCCGTGATGTGCTAGTTGCGCCTTTTTCTCTCTCTCTGTCATACTAGGTGACATAATTCGCATCTTTTTTGGCGCTACACTCTGCGTATATACTGCTCTTGTGTGGCTTCCACGGTATTCATTGTTATTACCTGATGATGGCCAAGTGCCGAAACGTTGTAAAATAACGGAACTGGTTCGGATGTGATATGCAGCGCTATGGGAATGGGTGTGTCCACCCGAATTCTTTTCACAGATGAAGCTGCAGGAAGCCTCAGCCCTTCTTCAAACTGTCTAAGAAAGTGGTGGAATTTAGCCCAATTTACCCTCACGATAGATGCATTCAAGACTTCTATGGCGTGCTACAATGGTTACCAGGTATAACCACGAGGAGGTGCCCACCAATTGTACCCAGAGCCTAGTTTTGCGGTGCCAGTTACCCGCCGCTCAGACCCCCAAATTTGTTACACTTTCTCCTCCGTGGAGAGAGTTGGTGGGACTTTGCATGGGTGCTGAAATCAGCCGGTAATGCAGCATTTAATCAGGAGTGGGAGCTCAACCCCACTCCCACTGTACCATACCCATACCTTTGAAAGTGTCTGCTCGTCAGATCCGCTCATCAAGAACTTACCACCCGGGGGAAACAATCGATTACCATTCTTTGCTGGGCTGGTGAGAATTAACGGATGATCGAAATTCCGGACCTTGTAGCACTTGAAATTGTTTTCGCGGTATGCTTCATCACGGTAATTTCCAAGAGCAATTCTTTCATGGTATATCTCAAAGGGAGTGGTTGCAAGAGGCCCACCGCCGATGACTCCCGGCGCGTACCGGCGATATGTGAACCAACCCTAAAGCACGATTCTTTCAAATATTAGAAATTAACTCGGATACTGAGCCAGTAAATACAATTGAAATAGAAGAAATCACATGGAAACGAGCTATGCAATAACTATCCACGACCATAACAAGATAATAAGTAGTCAGAAAGTGCGATAACAGGGCACAAAACTGACAGGCTACTGAGACATTCCACGACCTGAGGACTTGTTGGTTTGCCCACTGGAGATGTGTTAAAGCCAGGCCTCAGGTCGTTGAATGGGTTAGCTCACTGGTGATATGTTAGAGCTAGACCTCAGGTCTTTGAATGTCTCAGTAGCCTATCAGTTTTGTGCCCTGTTATCGCACTTTCTGACTCAAATCTCTTTAAAAAATTGACGGAAGAATATCTGGTTTTTGCTTTCAACTCGAATTTTTGGTTGTATGTATGTATGTACAACAGTATGTATGTATGTATGTATGTATGTATGTATGTATGTATGTATGTATGTATGTATGTATGTATGTATGTATGTATGTACTCAATCTGCGGACAGCATGCTGTTTCGTTCTTTTTGAACTCATCAGCGCAGCACAGAGAAAATGAGGCCGAACCTGAAAGCAATGGAAATAAAAATTTCCGATCAGGCCCGAACGTACCTTGCCAGAGTGCTCAAACTGACAAGTCAGTGAGCTCTGCATGTATGTATGTATGTATGTATGTATGTATGTACACTGTTGTGAATTCCAGCAGAAATCCAAGAGAGCTCGATACCTGGAAGGTAGAGCCGTGACACACTAGTCAGAACAACAGATGGCTTGATCAGTCACAACTTAAAGTTTCATGCCATCTCAGGCACTCATCAGGTGATATCCTCTGCCGCCTTGTCACCATCATCATCTTTGCACCGCGGAACTCACTAGCTAGGCCAGCTCAGTTTTATCACCTTTATCACATTCACCTTTATCCTTTATCACCTTAGTACCGCGATCCTTACTGGCTATGACACTGAATCGGATATGAGTTGATAGCGCCCCTAGCGCTTTCTGTTATCCTTGTCCCGCCATACTGGGCTTTAAATAGTGGGTTATTTTTTCTTGATGTTCATATCACCTGATGAGTGCCTGAGATGGCATGAAACTTTAAGTTGTGACTGATCAAGCCATCTGTTGTTCTGACTAGTATGTATGTATGTATGTATGTATGTATGTATGTATGTATGTATGTATGTATGTATGTATGTATGTATGCATAACCCATAACCATTCAGGTCGTACGGTCGCCATGTGTGCCATAAGGCAACAGCGTCCAAAAGAACAGAAAGAAAGAAAGAAAACGGAGCATCAGCAAATCGAATATTCGAATGAAATTCGAGAATCGTCACGAAAAGCACTCAATCAGTCGAAACTAGGGCTTTGTTCGACTGAAAAATGCCCGCAAACAGAAAATACTTTTCGAATACTTTTCGAATGCTCCGCGCGTGCTCTAGTACACGGCGCACTACGAGTACTCATTCTTGCGCATGTAGC